AAGTCGCAAAAGTATGACGTCACAACATTCTGATTGGTCACTTGCAATGTTGATCCTGGAACAACATTTAGTATGATGATCTGGGAACAACACCAACACGAGGATATCAGATCAACCGGTCGTTTATAGTCCGTTATAGTCCGCAGTCCTTTCCACAGACTCCTAGAGTCACACTGTCGTAGCTGTGACTCTAGTTTTTCCCCATAGCTCCGCTTTGCCTATTTGTGGGGAAATTTCCATTCCTTTTACTAGATCTTTGAGGTTTTGGCTGCAAGTAATTAATTTCTGTTTAATATGAATTTCTATGAATGTAGACAACTACATGCCAAGTAACTAGACTCAATCCCTGTATTATCACAAACACATTGCCAGTTTGATCCCATTCTGTCACAGAATGATAGCAGACTGATTGTCTTATTGCTGCTTCATCACAGTCCTGATGATCTAAAGACACTCGGAAGGTGGCAACTGACTGGAGAGTCATCGCAGATCTGGTCCCCATCTGTGAAGCAGCCATTTGAAAGGCAACAAGACTGCGTGTTCTTTGCACACGGTCAAAATAATTGTGGTAGTGCCGCAGTTTCCAACCACTATTTTTACCCAGTCTGACTTTGGCATGATTTAATAAGGTTGTGTGATGTCGGTTGTGTAGCATTGTGTGGACTTTGTATTTTGAAGGCAGACATGACTAACAAGTGAATTGGACTGAGTGAAAATAAACAGACAATAAAAAGTGTTAAGCAATGACGTAATTTAAAAACAATAATAGTTATAAATGGTAAAAGAATTAACAGTATTAATGACAATGGCTCAAAAAGTACAGATTCTCCGCAGCCTTCGGGAACAGTAAAGCCATTATTGTGGATTACAGATGACAGCTGAGGTGTGTGGAGACCTTTAGAGGCCTAAAGGATATTCACTTCAAGAAATATCCAGCCTACTTATTGAGGTCAGGTCAGTTCTCTTGTTAGATGGACCCGTGTGTTGAGGATGAGACTGCTGGTGGAGCACCAAGCTGACAGGGTTAGCAGTTCCTCCCTGTATGCAGTCTCCTCATTGCTGGCGATTAAACCGATGACTGTTGTGTCAACCGCAAATTGTATGATGGTGTTGTTGCAGGAACGGTTTTTGTGCCAGGATCAGTCCCTCGAAGCACTTGGAAATGAGAACGTACAGTTTTTATGAATCACTTTTATTCTTGCAGGACGTTAGTAAGCGCATGTCCCTGCCAATGGACATCCGCCTGCCTCCAGAGTTTCTGAAGAAGTTGCAGATGGAGAATGAAAACTCACCGCTCTGCAAACCTCTCAGTCGCATGTCTCGACGCGCCTCACTGGTTAGTGATGTGTATGTTTTTGCCATGTTTGTCTGCCTTTTTAATAGAACTTTCTCATTTTAGTGACTTTATTGGCTTTTCTTCTTGCTCCTAGTCTGACATAGGATTTGGGAAACTGGAAACATACGTTAAACTTGGCAAACTGGGTGAGGTAAGTTGTATCTTTCAATATTTTTCATGTTTCATTAAGAACATACACATAGGTTAAACACTCAATTTTGCTTATAAAGGCTTTGAAACGAGCGAAATGACGTGGACACATCTGCATAGCAGCCATAATAAGAGCTGGGTGAATTCTCTAAACACCTGAAATGGCATCATTGCTTCCTGTATTACCTCTTTTATCAGAGGGTCACCCTTTGTGAAAGGAAAGGCAATAATGCCGTCCAATATTTCACAGTGACACACTACAAAAACAAACCATCAACAGAAGGTTATCATGTAAGCTGCTGCTCCGTTTCTTATCTTACAGGCTATAATGTGATGTTAATACATGTGTTGTACTCTGCACAATTTGTTAAACCCACCGGTGAACTATAAACACTTTGCCGTCGTGTTACGTAGTTGTTGTTTCAAGTACTTTGGAAACGGAGCAGACTGGAATTTGTATAGTGCTTTTCAACCTTACTGACCAATCAGAAAGGTTATGCCACGTTCATGAACTTCTGTCCACTCCACTTTATCTACCTCACATCCATGACCAGTGTGGAATCACCAGTTAACCTAATATGCATGTCTCTGGGTCAGAGTACTCACGGGTACAGAGCAGTGTTGGTCAAGTTACTTGAAAATAGTAATTAGTTCCTAATTACTGATCACTTCTCAAAGAAAGTAATCCCGTTACTTTACTGATTACTTATTTTCAAAAGTAATTATTTACTTTGTTACTTTGTTACTTTTTAAAAGCACGATACACAACCTGAATATGTAATAAAGCAACAGACCTTTCAGCCATTTTTTTCTGCATAATCCATCATATGAAACTGAATCAAATGAAAAAAGGTATCTTTTTAAAACTTGTTTTATTAGTTTTCATCTTTTAACGTTATGCACATTGCATCAAGCAAAAATTCATTGCGTTAAATGCAGTTATATGCAACACTGTTTGACTTGAAGAAATCTGTTTAACATTGAAACCTATTTTCTGCATATTCCTGCATATAAAATTAAATAATTTTAAACGCTAATGTTTTTGTCACTTTTTACGGACTAAAACTCAAAGTGATATGAGTACTTCCACACTTTAAACGCTGCATGGTCGTGTTCTCTCCTGCACTCCATATTATCCATTGTTGATCTGCACATGTCTGTTACCATGGATGTCGCACGCTCGTACATCATTGTCATCATGAGACACTCACAAACAAAATCACGGTTTAGTAACGCAGCGTGCTTACGGGAAAGTAACTGTATTTAATTACCTTTTTGCAATAGTAATCTCTTACTTTTTTCAAGTAATGAGTAAAGTAACTGGATTATAGAGAGACCATGCAGGAAAGGCCCCAGTAGACCAGGAAATGTAAATCAGGAAGTTTCTTGCCATGATTTTGAGCTGTATTAAAATGATGAAGTGGAGTTTGTAGTCTTCATCATTTTGGACATAGTTGTTTTTAGTTAGTTTGCCAAGTTCCCAGAATGATTTTAATAGGTTTTCATATTTTTAAAAGTCTCATTTTTATTTTCATTTTAGTTAACTACGTTTTTAGTTTAAGTTAACTGTAAAAACCTCGCTCCAAACACTCTGCTTTTTTCCTGTCCTCATTTCACATGGTGTTAATTTGCCTCTCGTTCATTTCTAGAAACACAAGAATCTGAACTGACGTGTTTTTGCAAAGCTTGAATATTTTAACACAGATTACTCTCTATTCAGTTTTGCCTGGAGTGAAGTAATCTCAGTTAACCTAACATAGTGTCATGACACTTCATGTTTCCTGTGAATGCACAGTAGACTTTACAGAGGTTGGGAATTAATCTTGTAATGAAGTGATTTTTGCTACTGGTTTGTCCACGTTGACACAGCCATTCATAAAACACAGTAACAATGCACAGGGCAAAGTATAAAAGATGTGAGTTTTGTAGTAGATTTTCACCCACATCATAGTCCAGTGAGATATGAGTGTACACAACAAGTCCACAGATAAATGTCTCCGGAGAATAACGTTGTCTGTGATCAGCCATGCTCATCATATCAAAATGAGTACCACATGCAGTATGTGCCTTCTTTGCTTATATACCAAGCCAAACTAGTGTACCCATGTGTCCAGATTTCTGGCATGGCTTCATGACAAATTGCTAAGTGGATTACATTTCATGGACTTGCCTAAGATGAAGAGGGCTCAGGGGCTGAAAGCACCTAAATACCATGCTATTCATGTGAGAACATTTATTGCCTTAAGGGCTGAGGAATGTTTAGTGGCAGAAGCAGCCTGCATCAATCTGAGTCACAAGGCTGAGCAGCTGATAACAGGGGTGGCAGGAGATCAAGAAGAGCTGCTTTTATTGTCAATTATAGTGATAGAAGGTCCACAAAAGCATGGTTAGCTTTACACAAAACCAGCAGTGGAAGGTTATTCTAGATGACAAATCATCAAACTTTAATAATCAGATCCTAAAACAATATTTACATATATATATATTTAATTATTGAATGTGACAAAGGCTGTTCGAGATGTGAAGTTGATGCTTTCACACACGATATGTGAAATCTTAATTCAGTTTGTAAAAGAACGGAAAAATTTCATTGGGAATCTTTTAACAAATGATATTATTATAACATTATAACCTATTGTGACATCAAATTGTTCCTTTAAAAGAAAAATTGTTATTGTTGTTATGGATTTTCATAAACTATAGACTTCATTGTTTCATCCTGCTTTGGATGGTTCCAATGCGCTTCCCAGTATTCCCGTTATGACTCCATTAACATGCAGATGTTTGAACCACTTCAGCTCTTTCCTTTTGATGGAATACCAATAAGAGCCAAGGATACAGTTAACGAGTGAAAATATATTAAAGGGTTATTTGTGCATAAGTGATGTGGATGTGTGTGTGGATGGTGCCACACCCATAGTCTATATGTGAACATGTACTTTTTATTAGTATATTTTGTTGTAGTACAGCAACATCAGAATATCAGTAAGCTCTTCGGGGTGTTTCTCTGTGCAGGGGACATATGCTACAGTCTTTAAAGGGCGGAGCAAACTCACTGAGAACCTGGTTGCACTGAAGGAGATCCGGCTGGAGCACGATGAGGGGGCACCTTGCACTGCTATCAGAGAAGGTATGTGCACACACACACACACACACACACACACACACACGCTTTACAGTCCAGTGCTGCTGTGTTTGTGTAGCACTTCTACTTGCAGTTTTGGTAATCACACCGAACAGGTAGGTCTAATAATAACACCGTGTCCTTTCATTCACCTGCAGCATTAGTAACAGAGCAACTTGAATTAATACTACAGAACTGTTGATACAGTTCAATATATCAGGTCGATGTTGCTAAAGAATTTGCTTATGTATGATCCTTTTTAGAAGCTGAATTATCTTAAATGGTCATTTAAATGTTCCTCATGTGAGTCATGTCACGGTCTCGGGATTTTACAGTGTTATGGAATTTTGATCATCATTAAATTTTTATTTTTGTTTGGTTTATTCTAGTCTAGTTGTTCTAGTTATTTTATTCTGTCTCTTAGGCTGAGATGTGGAAAGATCTTGCAGACCCAAATGCAAGACGCAGAAGACGCAAAATCAAACTCAAAACAGACATTAGGTGCAAATTTAATCTGAACAATTTACAATGTCCAAAGAATCCAAAGGGAATGCAAGCCAAAGAAAATAAATAAAAGGGAACTCATTAAATAGTAACAGTGAGTGAAACTTAAATGAACATAATATATCAGAAACTCAAAACACAAAATCTTTTTGTTGAAACAGTGAAGTAGGAGTATAAAGTAGCATGAAAAAAAATCAGTACATGCATGTGCGTTAAATTTGATGAGAAGGATCAAAGAGCTCTCTTTTTGTTGTACCGTGGCTATGCAAACTTTAAAGCAACACACAGCTGCTAGCTTTAGACCACAGACTGTATATAAAGGTGGACAAATAAGTGAAGCCAGAACATTTAGTTTCACACCTCGGGTGTAGTGTTGTCAGGTTTTGTTGAATAAAATAGCTCACTTCATGTCTCCTTCCCTTGCCCAACCAGTGTCTCTGCTAAAGAACCTGAAGCACGCTAACATTGTCACCCTGCATGACATCATCCACACCGACCGCTGCCTTACTCTGGTGTTTGAGTATCTTGTGAGTATATCACTTCATCTTTATTAGGTCTTCTGAAGATGTTGATCTCAAATACCAAAAAGCAAAATGGATCAATTTGACTGTGTGTTTCAGGACAGTGATCTTAAACAGTACTTGGACAACTGTGGGAACCTCATGAGCATGCATAATGTCAAGGTGAGTCATATGCATGAATCATCATCTACATACTGCACATTGTAGAGAGTTGCACTAAGTAAGTTTCCTGAAAAATGCATTCAACATTTCTTTAACAAAGGTCGGGAGGTCACCGAACCTCACCAAACCAAATTACAATCAGGGGGAACCAAAAAAAAATTCTGCCACTGTGGAGCCACCTGCTACAGTGACCCACGTGAATAAGAGAGCAGCCAAAACGAACTATTTGTTTGCAAATGTGAAAACCTTTGGGCAGATCTACAGTCTGTATCAGGACAAAACTGTTTAGTTTTTTGATACTAAGAGTTGCTCTCCATATTCATAACTAGGTCCAGTGTAAATTGTGCAGTGGAAAGCTGGCCTTACTGCATATGTATTTATGGGAGCGTCCCTTTAAGCTTGAAAAACTTTGGAAGGAGAGCATTTAAATGATTGACAGAAATGTGCTTTGTCCATCTTGAATGATGTATGTTTAGATTTAGTTAAACATAAACAGTTTTTTAATTTTATTTTAGAGTTACTATACGAGTTTCCTTAAACATTGATCAATGTTTTTCTGCTTATTTGGGCCCTGGTCACGGCAGCAGCCTAAGTTGACCACCCTCTCCCCAGCCACCTCCTCTAGTTTGTTCATGGAAAAACCAAAGCATTCCCAGCCCAGCTGAGAGATATATTCCCTGCAGCATGACAACTACATTGTTTAAGGAAACTCTGATAATAGATGATAGTTATGCAATACACTGAACATAGAAAACATATCAAATGTTTAAATTAAGGGAATGTGCCATTTTAAGATGTAAATAAGGTCTGTACTTACCTCTCAGAATTAATGCTGCTTTTCCAGATCCATTCCCACACTCTCAGAAATGCAGAGTGCAGATGCGCATCCATGTTTTCTAAAAAGAACTTCAAATTTCGATTCATCTGACTACAGGACAGTTTGACACTTCACCACAGTCCAGTTTAAATTAGCATAACGGAGAGAAGAGGATGCTGTTTCTAGATGCTGTGCACATGTTCACAGACCTTTGACCTTGCTTTGTGAACGGCACGGTGAACTGTGTTCACAGAGGGTGATTTGTGGAAGCGTCCCTTAGTGTCATTTTTATTAAAGATTGTTTTGTTTTTATCTTTTCTTTTGTTTTAAATCTTAACTATTACACAACTACTGCAACTCTTTTTCTCCTCAGATTGGTCCTGTATTGTTGTTCTGGTAATTACATCCTCCTTTCATGTTTCTGTCTGCAGATCTTCATGTTCCAGCTGCTGCGTGGTCTGTCCTATTGTCACAAGAGAAAAATCCTCCACAGAGACCTAAAGCCTCAGAACCTGCTTATCAATGATAAGGGCGAATTGAAATTAGCTGATTTTGGTAGGAAGGAGAACAATAACAAACACACAACAACATGCACACATTAACAAGTGAACTTTTGTGAAGGAAACGACACGTTTCTGGGCATGATCACTCCCCAGTTCTATTTTACTGCCACTCAAGAGATCGCCTGTCCTAATTACTTTAGCACCTGTATCCTAGCAACTGTGCCCCTCACTCTGAGTTTTCACAGTTTTCTGCTGGAAATGGGAATTAAATCCACCAGTACTTTCTGACTGCATTTCAAAAGTTTTAAATAAACACGAGTAATGAGCGGATAGCGGAAGCTTCTCTTTACCTGCTCACAGTGTGTAGATGATGGACTTATGATATTTCACTGTGCTGTTACTGAGGTCCTGTGACTTGTGTAATGTCCAGGTCTGGCCAGGGCCAAGTCCGTCCCCACTAAGACCTATTCCAATGAGGTGGTAACGCTTTGGTATCGACCTCCTGACGTGCTGCTAGGCTCTACAGAATATTCCACACCCATCGACATGTGGTAAGCAGGGGACAATAGACGTTTCTGTTGAAGGGCCGTCCTTACATTTTTCCACATCAGTCACGGTGCACACTGACCTGCTTGGCTGGAAACTAAATGCTTGAAACACAGCTAGAAGTGTACTTTAAACCACTGAGCTGGTCAGGAAAGGAATTGGTGCCGACCCTGGTTACAGTAAAATCCTGTTACTTGGTGAAACACTCAAATATTCTCGAGGGCCATCCAGGATTTCCATGACTCAGTTCTGTCTATTAAAATGTCACAGGTTGTTAGCAGTGAGGTGAGTCACTAGTCATACAAAGGGGGCGTGCATTCACTTTCCTTACGTGTTTTTGCACACAGTTTGCTGTGGTGAGAACACCCCCACAGCTCTGCTAAATCAGAAATATAAATGTGGCTCTCTAGCAACACAGCAGCCTTTTATGAGCACATAGAGCTACATACACTCTCATCAGACTGCAGGATGCCTCTTCACCACGCCATCCTGTGTGGAACAAAAGGCTGGACTGTGCCCACTCACTGCATACTAGTTTGCACTTACAATTAACAGTCTTTGAAGTGTGTGTGTGTGTGTGTGTGTGTGTGTGTGTGTGTGTGTGTGTGTGTGTGTGTGTGTGT